AGACATGTTGTTTTTGGCCCATGCTAAAACCATAAAGACGTTTTCTAAAAAACGGCAGGTGATGGCGAAAATGAAAGTTTCCCAGGTGATATTGCAACAGGAACTTGAAAACCTGGAGGAATCGTCAACACATCAAACTCAATGTAACAGTAGTTCCGTTACTTCCATTTCTTATAGCGATCCAAATTCACCTTATTCTCAACACCATTCAAACACTGCTTTATCCCCAAATTATTCAAATGGACCTTGTTATGATGGTGATCTAAATATTGAAACTATAAAAGAAAAATGCCAAAATAGCTCTGCAAGTATTGCTAACTCTATTGACGAACCAGCAAGATGGTCCGTCAATACAAGTATTGATGGTTCGCAAACTGCATCTGACTGTACAAACACCAATATTATAAATTATTTTCAATTTGATCCCACAAATACTGAATAACATTTTAAGAATTTATTCAAGTTTATGTTTAGTTTTAAATTTAAGCGTTGCTGTATGATATTTTCATTTTTGTACTGTTAGTAAATGTATTTTAAAATGTAATATATTGTTTGCTTACCTTAATGTTATAACCAGTCGTTCCTCTGCTGATATAGATTCCCGATAATTTGTGTCTTTTTTTGTTATATCTCGTTTAATAAGATTTAAAATTTCATCAAAACATGCACTAGACATTCTAAAATATAGATGGTATCTCTTTTCATCCTGACGAAGTTGCGACATCAACGTGTGATATTCTCCAAACTCTTTACGTTGAAGATTTATTTCGTGAACCCATTTTCTTTTTTTTCTTTTGAAGAAATAGGTAAAATGATTTATAATATATTTACAAATTGTTTTATTGTAACAATTGTATAAAAGTAGATACTTACTTGGCGTGTTCTTCTTCTATGGCAAGAAATAACAGTGCTTCTTCTTCATCAGAAGACATTTTCGCTGCGACTAACTATAAAAATACGCGTCGGTGTAAATAGACACGCGAAATTTCGTTGTCGCAGTCTCTGCGATTTATCGTATGTGTTGTCGCGCGCGAAAATTTCGTTGCGGCTGCAAATACTTCGCGTTGGTTTGAGGGAGCCTTAATTCTTCAGATATATCAGCCAGTGAAATTCAGGTAAACTACTTTGAGCCCGGCCACAGTTTTATGGCCGCTGATAGCTTTCATCACCAGATAGAACGATCCTTAAAAAGACATGGGAAAATATACGACTTTGATGATTTTTCCAGAGCGGTTCGTAAGTGTAGAATTAAAAACAAGCCAGAAATTAAAATTATGAATTTTACTGATTTTTATTTATGGAAAGATTTTAAATCCCAGCAAAAAGTCAAACAGGACAGCAACCGCCCGCTTCTGACAAATATAAAACAGCTACAAGCAAGCCGCGGATAATTTGTTCTAAAATACAAAAACTCAAGACCTTGGATTTTTTGTGCAAGCAGGCAATGAAAAATGTGGCTTAGTTCTTCCATTAACCTATCTTTCTGGACCACGAGGCTTTCCTAAATATAAGAAAGATAAACTATTAAGGTTGTTAAACGGAATCATTCCAGAAAGCAGGCAAATATTTTGGAAAAATTTGCCCGAATGCGAAGGATAATGAATATATAATTACGTATTTATTGTAAAAAATGTTTGTAGTAATAACATAATAAAGCTTTTTTATCTACGACTGCTTGGATAAGTCATCATTACCGCACTCATTTGAGGTGATTTGAGTTACGTAATGAAGTTCATTACTTATTATTAATCAGAACAGACTTAATTTATTGAAACGAGCGACAATACAAAAGAAAAAGTGCTATCTACTTACAGAGAAACAATACTATTTATTATGAACATTAATTGTTATGTTTTTACATTTCAAAACACTTATTCCAGATGAGTAAACATGTTGTTGAAACTGACAATTCAAAATTGTCAACAATCATTTCAAAATATTTTTATAAATGTCAAATAGACTTTTTTAAAGAAATTGATTTTTTAGTAATTTTTAGCAGTCGTAGATAAAATGCTGTATATCACACGTGGGCTAGAGCATAATTACAGTACTCGTGTGATTACACGACTCGGTCTACGACCTCGTCGTGCAATTCTCCACACTCGTACTGTAATTATGTTTCTAGCCCACTTATAATATAAATAACTATTAAAATACATTTTTTATTTCTTATTTTAATAAAATTGTTGTTGATATATTTAACGTGTCTTTAAAAAAATGAATTTCATGCACATACCACGGTAAAATACACTAAATCATAACCCTCCGTGCTAAGGATAAACGCGGTAAGGAAAAAAATCAACACTTACCGCGTTTATCCTTAGAATGTTACAATAATTTAACAACATATATTGCGGTATGTGGAATCTTGAGAAAAATACAGTATTTTTTTAAATTTAAGCTATTTAGGGAGTAAACACTATAGTCACAAAATAAAGGTATTTACCCAAAAAAGTAAACTTTTATGACACATATCTAAAGGCTGAGAGAGAACACAAAAAACGTGTTTTCTCAGTTTCATGTTTTTGTGAGATACCGCGTTCTTCTTTATGAGGGCAGTATTGTAGTAGAGTAAAATCAAGTTCGGAAGGTACCATGATATATTTCATTTTTGGCATTAAGAAAAGAAAAAATAGAGTATTGAGTTTGATAGAACGAGAGAAATATAGCAAATGACACTGTGGTGACAGACTTCCGAAGTCGATTTATCTCTTTGGTTGCTTGTGCCATTGCTAAATGCACTACAGATGCATCATGTTTAATGAACAAGATATGTTTTTGTGATTTGTGAAATAAATTTGTGGTGGGAAGATTACAGTTTACATGTATACAGGGTGTGGCACTTAAGACGCCTCGGAAATAGCTCCTTTACGATAAAAGCTATCGAAAAAAATCTAAGAGCAAAGTGGTGCATAATTACCGTCGCTATGTTTCAAAAATATTTCTAATCATCAGTGGCGTGCCGTATTCCAGTGGCGTACCAAACTTATTTTTTTTAAATAGAATGCCCTATTTTTTATTGCAGATTTGGAAAGTGCTCGAATAGTACTTATTTTTTTATCTAACATGTTATACCCTTAACTTTAGCGGTTTCGCTGTTATAGCCCCTTCTTTTAAAATTGCGCCCCATTTTTCAGATTTTTTTGTAGAGAAACTAATTGACGTCGGCGCCTAAATTTTGAATTGAGGGACAGGTTAAGACCTTGTGTACCTTCACATAATTTTTTTTCGGGTAATTTATGGAAAAAAAATAATTTTTGATTGATCTTCGCTTGTTGTCATTTTTTTCGAAAATTTCAATTGGCACGCCCCTAAACAAATTACGGCGTTGTACAGCCAAAACTCTAAATTTTCCATTGGATAAAAAAAAAATCACACATTGCATAACAAAATTTCGGAGAAAAAAGGAATTTTATCGCAATTGTCGGGAAACGTTTTCCGTCCCCAAGTGTGCTATGAGAAAACAAAAGATAGGTAATTGTCAAAGTAAATTATTAGACGGCAGCAGCAGCCATAAGTCATTTTTGATAAACGTTCTAAAAATGTTCCGAACTCAAGAGGAAATGGTTGACATGATATTTATTCTTGGAGAATGTAACAAGAATTGTTTCTTGGCGTCACGAGTGTACGCTGCGAGATATCCGCACAGGGCACATCCAAATGAACGTGCGTTTCAAAAAGTGATGGAGAGATTTACTACTACGGGAAGTGTGAAACGGCCAAGGAGAGTTAGAATGAAGGCAGTTTTGACCGAAAATAATGAACTGCTAGTTCTGGAGGCAGTTATTGAAGATCCTCATACCAGTATCCGTGATATTAGTAGGAATCACGATATTTCAACGCGATCCGTACATCGTGTTCATCAAAAGTACAAATTCCGTCCATTTAAGATTCAACTGCAGCAACAATTGCAACCTCAAGATTTTCATTTACCAACAAAATTGAGCAGGAGGAATCATTTCTTATGCGCGTATTATTTTCTGATGAAGCGACGTTCCATAGAAATGGGCATATCAATGGCCACAACTACCATTATTACGCCGATGAAAACCCACACGCCATGAGATTGATAAACCACCAGCAAAGATGGTCGCTGAATGTTTGGGGAGGCATACTTGGAGAACACCTTTTGGGTCCTTATTTCTTCGAGGGGTACCTGAACGGCAACAGTTATTTGAGGTTCCTTTGCGACGACCTGGATGATCTCTTGGAAAATGTCCCTCTAGCCGCTTTACGACAGATAGTAGTAACCTCAACTATTTAGTTACTGAAAATGTTGCTAAAAATCAGGAAAACAACATAAATTTTATAAGGGTCCTAGATAATACCAAGAGAAAACCTAAAAAATTTACATTGACAAGTATTATAGAACAAAAACGAAGTATACTATTTTCATGCTAATTAATTCATATATTAAATTCATATAATTATGTCCCAATTCGATAATTGTATCAGTTTCTTGTTTATTTTAAGGTCATTTCATGTCTTACAATAGGTAGGCGTTACTAGAGAAAAGGATGTAAGTCCCAAAGCAAAGAAATTTTACAATGCAACAGTTACTTTGAGAAGATCACTTCAAAGATTAAAACGTGCCAACTTGACAGCAAAAAGAAAAGTGCACAGTTTTACAAAGACTGAAATGATAAACCAGGCTATTGCTAATTTAAATCCACATGTATCTGAATTTGTGAGAATCCAAATTCGCTTAAGTGGACGTAGGCCTCATGGCAGGAGGTTAAATGATAAGTGTTTGGCACTTATACTATATAAGCAAAGCCCCCAAGCTTACAGGTTATTTTCTAAACTGTTTAATGTACCAGGAAGAAAAACCATAAGTAATGTGCTTAAAAAAATTCAGTTAAATGTAGGAATTAATAACCACATTTTTCAAAAATTAAGTGAAGTTGTTAATTCTTTTACGTCACCTGAAAAACTTTGTATTTTATTATTTGATGAAATGGCTATACAACCCCACATTTCTTTCATTGGAAATAGTATGGATTTTCAAGGTTTCCAAGATCTAGGAGATACATTGTCAGATGATATAGCTGACAATGCAATTGTCTTTATGTTAAGGGGGGTCACCAGAGATTGGAAACAGCCAATGGCATTTGGTTTTACAAAAAGTTCCATAAAAACAATAGATTTGGTTAGGATAATTAAGAAAATAATTCGAAAGTGTAATGGCATTGGCTTAAAAATTATTGCAACTGTTACTGATCAAGGATCGACAAATGTTGCCGCAATAAATTATTTAATGAAGAATTCTGTAAATAAACAGGAATATACCAACAGGAAATGTTATAAAATCGATGAGAATATTATATATCATATATATGATCCGCCTCATTCGATAAAGGGTATACGAAATAATTTGTTAACAAAAAATATGGTATGGGAGCAAGATGATGATTGTATCAAAGCAAAATAGGAGGATATTTACAAAGCACGTTTATTGGATAATGCATCAGGTGAATTAAGACTGATGCCAAAGTTAGCAGAGGAGCACTGTGATCTCAAAAAGATTAAAAAAATGAAGGTTGGTTGCAAATGCAACTCAAGTATTTAGTCACATAGTAGCTGCCAGTATAAATGTTATGGCAAAAGCAGGTAATGTGTAATTGTTATTAAGTTTAATACATGTCTAATACAATTCTAATGTGTTGTTTGTAGGACTATATAGCGATATGTGTTTAAACAAATCTGCCATTGGGACAGCAAAAGTTATCAAATTTTTTGATAATCTCTTTGATAGCGTTAATTTGAATACAGTATTCCCATTACGTGGGAAGCCATTGTTATATGCAATGAAAAGTGATTCAAGTCATCACGAATTTTTTGATTACGCAAAAAAAAAACCTTAGTAACATGTACTTTGAAAACGGCATTACAAAATATACACCACCGTCGCGACGGTGGTGTCGCGTCGTTACAAAATTGGCATGTAACCATTCAAGGAATTGAAGACATTTTTCAAATAGTAAACCACCAAATTTCTTTTTTGAGATTAAGGGCCTTTAATCAAGATCCCTTTAAAAAATTTGTTTGGGCAAATTCGTCAAAGGGGTGTGTGAGGAATGTAAGTAAACCCAACATCGTCACAATTTAAAAATCATTATAAAACATTAATAATAAATAATTTATCATCACGTCATTCAATTAGTGCTAATTGTGAAGCGGACTCTTTAAATTTAATCACTAATATGCAAGATTTGATTGGAGGAAATGCAATTGTTCCGCCCGAAAAAATCACTGTAAGTGAAGATTTATTAAATAAAATAATATATATTGCAGTCATCAATATACTGGGCAATATATCATCAATTGATGCTTTNTTATTAACACGTTAACGACCATGTGCACCATATTGGTGCGCACTCTGATTTCTGGGGAGACCGCGTGACCCTATTTGGACACAGGAAAATGTAATGTTTCAACTCGTGTGGGCCTAACAGGGACGCAGCTATAGTGTTTAATTATACGGTGTTTGGTAGATCTGGTACCTGGGAAATACAAGATAGCCTTGGGTTGGAAAAATCATTTGTGGTTTTTTTATTTATTACAGCGTTTAAAAAAAGGCATTATTCTTCTTATAATACCTTGATAATGAGGATAATCCTCGTAATTTTATAATTTTTTCAAATAAAACAGGATTCAACACTATTTTTTATCCTCCTTATGCTTTTAGAGGATAAAAAATAGTGTTGAAGCCTGTTTTATTTGAAAAAAACTATAAAAAGTCATTATTGTTAATTTAATAAGTTTAATATAATTTTATAAGAATGGAATATTATTGAATTGGTCATTGAATTTTTAACGTCAAATGCAGTCAAATCTGCAAATGTGCCGTCAACAACAAACGTCAAATTTTAGGTTAGAATTCATTTTATTGTTGTTGTAGGCTACTGTACTGCTTTCTTCTATAGTGATTATATGTGATTTATTAAGTGTTTTGGTTGTGTGTATCTGTATAATAGAAATATGACGCGCAAAGAACTATCTGATGAAGAACTTCGACGAATATTGGAAGAGAGCGACTTTGAATGTAGTGAAATCGAAAGCACATACGATGATTCAGATGCAGACCGCACATTCAAAGTAGACGAAGGTTCGAACTCTGAGTCTAGTACAACTAGTAATGACATTATTTTGCCAAGTAAAAAAAGAAAAATAGAACCTACACCTGGGCCTAGTAATAGGCCTAATTCACCTGGAAAAGATTCAAGTGACGATTCTGTTGTTGCTCCAAGAAGTAATTATGTAGTGTGGAGTGAAGTTTGTGTATCTGATAAACTCAATAAATTTGTATATTCTGGAAGACCCGGATTTCGACAAGAAAAAATCAATCACCAAAACCCTGTTGATTTTTTCCTCTTATTTTTCGACAAAGAAGTTCAAGATTTACTAGTTACGGAAACAAACAGATACGCCGAACAACAGATACTAAATGGTATATGTGAAGAGACAGTCAGTGAACACTCCATTGTGTCTAAGTGGTATGATACAGATGCACATGAACTTATGCGTTTTTTTGGCATTATTATTTGGATGGGACTTGATCAAAAACCTACGCTTCGAGATTATTGGAGTAAAAAGGTCCTTTATAAAAGCGAAGTTGCAAAGTTGGGTCGCATGAGTAGAAATCGATTTGAGGCATTGTTACATTTCCTACACATTTCTGATAATGAAAATTGCCCATCAGGTGACAGATTATATAAGATTTCTCCACTTGTACAGATGTTAAATAGAAAATTTCAACATCTTTGCAATCCAAAGGACAAGATATGCATCGATGAGACAATGGTTCCATTTCGGGGCAGGTTAAGCTTCCTCCAGTACATTCCAGGCAAAAGACACAAGTACGGTGTCAAACTTTTTAAACTTTGTGTTGATGGAGGCTATACTTATTCAGTTAAAATATATGGCGGTGGTGGTGGTATAAAAACCTCTGATAAGCCATTGGCTACAAGAGTAGTCATGGAACTGATGGAACCTCTTCTCAATACGGGAAGAACCCTTTATACTGACAACTTCTATACAAGTGTTGGTCTAGCACATGAACTGAATGATAACCAAACACATTTGGTTGGTACTTTGCGTCAAAACCGAAAACTTAATCCGAAGGCAGTCACAAGTGCCAAATTGAAAAAGGGCGAAATAAAGATGCAACAAAGCAACACAAAAGTTGTAGTAGCAAAATGGAAAGATAAGCGCGATGTTCTATTTCTGACAACGAGAGCTGTCCCAGAAATGGTTGAAGTTCCAACGAAAAGAGGCTCTGTTCTAAAACCATCAACCATAGTGGAATATAATACAGCTAAAGGCTTTATTGATATTTCAGATCAAAAAGCTTCCTATAGTTCTCCAGTACGCCGAGGGATCAAATGGTACCGGAAAATTGTAGTTGAACTATTGACAAACACTGTTCTAGTTAATGCCATGGTCGTGTTCAAAGAAGTAACTGGAAAGAACATGAGTATCACAGAATTTCGCGAAAATATCGTTTGTGCCTTATTGGCTGTGGAAAACCAACCCAAAACTGAAAATCAAGTGCAACACTCTATAGAAAATAAAAAAACTCGGGGCAGGTGTTCAGCTTGCTATAAAAAGTACTCAGAAAGAGAAGGGCGTCATTCGGCGATGAAAAATGCCAAAAAAGTTTATTCTTTTTGCCGTGCATGCTCTGAAAATGCGACGTATATGTGTGTAAGTTGTTTTTTTGAGCGCCATACTTCGTTCGTTAATTAAATAATAATGTTACGTATTTATATTTTTTTGTATACTGAAAATGTTATTTTACATTCATAATGGAATATGTTGTTTTATTTTTAACTAAAATGTAGAATAAATGATTTTGGTCGAGACCCACTATGGTACACATGGTCTATGGTAAACTTAACATATATTTCTTTTTAATCAGACTGCGTGTACCAATTTGGTGCACATGTTTTTTTTATTGAAAACTCTTTCCAAACAAGTTATTGTCCAAAGAAAAAATATTATTGTACTTCCTTGTGCTAGCATTCAACAAAAAACTACTCCGGTCCAGACGTAAATTTACAAAATTTAGGACTGGTCGTTAACGTGTTAAATTGGNAATGTATTGAGGATTCACTTTTACAGAGAACATTGACATTGATACTAACATTGATAATTGTTGACAAAAAAAGAACGACACGAAAAAACTGCCATGGATACGGCCATGGATACGGTCATGGATATACAAATTAACTTTTAAACTTTTAACAACATACATAAATGAATAAAATATATTTCTTACCGTAAAGTAACAGCTAGACGTTCAGCGGTTGTTATGGGTTCCCTAAAATTATTATATGCCTTTCTTATATCTCCTTCAATTAGTTTTAATATACAGTGTGTCCCCGGATAGGTGAAACGACTCTTATAAAATGTAAAATTTTTTCGATATTAATTGTCATTTTTTGGGGTTTAGCCCTGCTTGGTGAAAGACTAATTTTGAACATATTTTCAAGTTTTAAAAAACAAGTGAGTGTTGACACTGAAGCGAAAGCTCCTTGTGTGTCAGGTAATGAGATTTTTACCAAAGTAGGCTGATCATTCCGAAAATTTGCATATGGCCATAATTCTTCATTCTGAACAAAACTTCTTAGTAATACTTTCACGTACTGTAAACAGAAACCCCAAAAAATGACAATTAATATCGGAAAAAAAATTTACGTTTTATAAGAGTCGTTTCACCTATCCGGGGACACACTGTATAATCAAAACTTATTATTGGCATTCGGAAATAAATATAAAACCTTTCTTCGTCTTGTCTAAGTTTAGGATATAACGTATGTAATTCCCCTTCTATATTACGTGTTTGATTAACACGTTAACGACCATGTGCACCATATTGGTGCGCACTCTGATTTCTGGGGAGACCGCGTGACCCTATTTGGACACAGGAAAATGTAATGTTTCAACTCGTGTGGGCCTAACAGGGACGCAGCTATAGTGTTTAATTATACGGTGTTTGGTAGATCTGGTACCTGGGAAATACAAGATAGCCTTGGGTTGGAAAAATCATTTGTGGTTTTTTTATTTATTACAGCGTTTAAAAAAAGGCATTATTCTTCTTATAATACCTTGATAATGAGGATAATCCTCGTAATTTTATAATTTTTTCAAATAAAACAGGATTCAACACTATTTTTTATCCTCCTTATGCTTTTAGAGGATAAAAAATAGTGTTGAAGCCTGTTTTATTTGAAAAAAACTATAAAAAGTCATTATTGTTAATTTAATAAGTTTAATATAATTTTATAAGAATGGAATATTATTGAATTGGTCATTGAATTTTTAACGTCAAATGCAGTCAAATCTGCAAATGTGCCGTCAACAACAAACGTCAAATTTTAGGTTAGAATTCATTTTATTGTTGTTGTAGGCTACTGTACTGCTTTCTTCTATAGTGATTATATGTGATTTATTAAGTGTTTTGGTTGTGTGTATCTGTATAATAGAAATATGACGCGCAAAGAACTATCTGATGAAGAACTTCGACGAATATTGGAAGAGAGCGACTTTGAATGTAGTGAAATCGAAAGCACATACGATGATTCAGATGCAGACCGCACATTCAAAGTAGACGAAGGTTCGAACTCTGAGTCTAGTACAACTAGTAATGACATTATTTTGCCAAGTAAAAAAAGAAAAATAGAACCTACACCTGGGCCTAGTAATAGGCCTAATTCACCTGGAAAAGATTCAAGTGACGATTCTGTTGTTGCTCCAAGAAGTAATTATGTAGTGTGGAGTGAAGTTTGTGTATCTGATAAACTCAATAAATTTGTATATTCTGGAAGACCCGGATTTCGACAAGAAAAAATCAATCACCAAAACCCTGTTGATTTTTTCCTCTTATTTTTCGACAAAGAAGTTCAAGATTTACTAGTTACGGAAACAAACAGATACGCCGAACAACAGATACTAAATGGTATATGTGAAGAGACAGTCAGTGAACACTCCATTGTGTCTAAGTGGTATGATACAGATGCACATGAACTTATGCGTTTTTTTGGCATTATTATTTGGATGGGACTTGATCAAAAACCTACGCTTCGAGATTATTGGAGTAAAAAGGTCCTTTATAAAAGCGAAGTTGCAAAGTTGGGTCGCATGAGTAGAAATCGATTTGAGGCATTGTTACATTTCCTACACATTTCTGATAATGAAAATTGCCCATCAGGTGACAGATTATATAAGATTTCTCCACTTGTACAGATGTTAAATAGAAAATTTCAACATCTTTGCAATCCAAAGGACAAGATATGCANTTAACATATATTTCTTTTTAATCAGACTGCGTGTACCAATTTGGTGCACATGTTTTTTTTATTGAAAACTCTTTCCAAACAAGTTATTGTCCAAAGAAAAAATATTATTGTACTTCCTTGTGCTAGCATTCAACAAAAAACTACTCCGGTCCAGACGTAAATTTACAAAATTTAGGACTGGTCGTTAACGTGTTAATTTCGTGCACCCAGATTTTCTTCTTCTTTCTAATAGTATAGTTTTAATTTATATAAATAACAATTAACAAATATACACAAGCAATATTTATTAACAAAATACTTACCTCTCTCCGTTTTCGTCCTCACATAAGGCTGCAAGTAAAAGTATTTCATCATGATTATCCATTGTCTCTGCACAATTCTTTTTTCAAAAACAAGCACTGATTAACAGCAAAAGGTTTTTAAAAACTGACCGGAATATGGGACTGATCGCCACCGTGATCACTCTAGTGTGTGTCAAAATGATCGCTTGTGATATCGCGGCCGCGATCGCGCCAGTCTGAGTGTAGCTGTATTCAGCACAGTATTCGGTTACCATAATAATAACATCGCACTCTGCTCATATGTACCAAAAAAGAAAAAAGTTGTGGTTCTCATCTCGACCGAACGTTATAATTCCGCCGTCGACTCATCGAAGCCATCGAAGAAGCCATTTCAAGTTTTTGACTACAATATGTATAAATCCGGAATGGACACGATGGATCAGATGGTTGGCGGTTAGACGTGCAAACGGGGCACAAATCGATGGCCGTTCTAGCTCTATTCTATAACATGTTGGACGTGACGGGCTTGGCTGCATTTATCATTCATGGCAGATTGGGGCATGTCAAGAGGACCGACCGAAGACGTGTCTTCCTGATGGAATTGGCAAAACAGCTGGTGGTCCCTCACATGGAGCAGAGAGCAACGAATTCCATTGTACAAGGTATTCAACACGTCAAACACGCAGTGGATGATCAACCAGCCCATGCCGTTTCCACTGTAACTCGACCATCGTGCTGCCTGTGCTATAAATTGGATGAAAAGCAGCGAAAAACAAGACTTCATTGCATGTATTGGAAAAAACCTGTGTGTCTACAGCATTCACATGCCAAGTGGGCAGAATCAGAAGAGAGTGATGCAGAGCACCAAATCAGAAGTGTTTGGATTAAACTGACAAATGAGTTAAAACAGACATACTTTGATAAAGCGGAAAATATGGTTTTTGAAAATCTATATTTAGAAGAAACAAATCAAGAAGAAAAACCTCTTGCTGCAGTTACAACTAATTTAGAAGATCCTGTTATAAAAATCTTATTAAGCAAAATGAAAAGAAAAATGAAAAACAAAATATAAGAAAATTGGCTGAAAGGTTTGTATTAGAGAAGTATGATGGAAAAAGTATAAATGCTTATCAATGGATGGAAATTTTTGAAAAAAAATGTGAAAGATTTGATGTAAAACAAGATCAAGAAAAGATTGAAATATTCAGACTATTTCTTGAAAAATCTTGCTTAGATTGGTATAAGTCTATGATGTTTAAATTTACATTGCAATCGGAATGGCTGAAGAGGAAACAAAATTTCTGTGAAACATATGCAAACAAAGGTTGGTAGTACTAAGGCTGCTAGTAGATATGCACTGTCATTAAAATACCAAGCAGGTTCCTTGCTGGAATATGCCATAAAGAAGGAAAAACTTTTACTTGAGGTGAGAAAAACAGTGGATTCAGGTACTGTTCAGAACGCGCCCACACGCGCGAATATTTCAAACTTATGAGCAACGCGCTCACACGCGCGATGGGAGAGTAATTAAAACTCCTAATTTCAAGTACATTTTAATTTGGTCACACTACGCTATTTTTTTTCTTTTATTGTACATATATACAAATAATTATTGTTAACATGTATGTATCGCGTCTTTAATTCCTTGTATATATTTCTGTAAACCTGTTTTGTCCAAAATCTGTATAAAAGTATGCTCGTCCGAAAATAAACCCTCTTTGTTGTCCAGTCTTCATAGTGTTTTATTCTTCCACCAAAATCAAGATACTTGGAGAAAGTGGTTAAGTAAGACTATTTAATTCAATTTCTTTAAGTAGCAGAATTGCGCGTAAAGTAAGAAACAGGTACTTTAGTTGATATTATTGCAACTGGTTTATCAAACTGTATAACTGATGAAATAAATGAAGAAGAAGTACGAGTAACGACAAAGCAAAATGAGTATGTTCATCTGTTTTCTGCTGGGGAGCCTTTAGTATTCCTTGCTCAAATGTCGAATTTCTGGTGTCTCCGTTCTGGCTTTTTCGCTTTTCTGTGGAGCTAGTAGAAGTCCTAATAGGAGTATCAGTAGCGATTTCATCCAAATTATTGTTTTCCACCTCAGCCGTTTCCTCTTGTAGTATATTGCTTCTTGTATATTTTCTTTGTTTAGACGTTGATTGTCCGGAATTAACATCTTTTTGAGCCTTGACTCTCTGCAGAAGCAGGTTCGTACATTTCACCATATTTGTTGAACATTTTCGATATTACTACTTTAGGAAGTTTTATAATAAAATTATGTATATGTATTTATGAAATTTACAGTGTTTTGAGCATGATACATAACGAATTTTGTCTAGCTAAGATACTTTTTTCAGGTACTTAGCAACAGGATCCGGTTTTAAAGCACTTTCATTTCAATATTTGATAGCATCTTTTACTATCAGTGGCATTATACGCAATAAATGTGAAGAGATATGGAACAACTTACAACCACTGTTTATGTCTCAAAAACTGCTGACGATTGGATAAGTGTTGCTGACGAATTTTATCGCGGTACACAATTTCTTAACGTAATCGATGCTGTAGATGGTAAACACGTACGAATTATTTGCCCAGTTTCAACACATTCTACGCCCTTATGCAAAAACAAATTTGACTTATAATAAGAGGTTTTGCAACAACAGGCAGTCACGAGCTACACGATTAGTCGAATATTTCATCATCTGCTAGACCTAAACATTAATCGTGCTGTATTTTACATAACTACGCCCGCATTAAAGACGGAGTTCATTTCACAGACACCCTTAATAAACATTCACTTGAAGACTACACAACAAATGATGAAACAGCGGGAAGGCACTTGACAACTGGAGCAAACATCAGAGAATATTTGACGTCATATTTTGTTTCGCCACAAGCCTGTAAGTTACTCGCTGGATCTTCATTTGTTTTATCTGATAGTCAGCTGTATAATGTTATCATACTTACTTATCGTTCATTATACCCAACATCAATAGACAAGTACTCTTCGATACGACCTTTGGTTAATAAAACCCCCAACTATTTTATTTTCGAAGTGCTTCACTTCGAACCAGTTTCTGAACAAGGTTGCAACATGGCATCCGAAACGTCAAACCTTTTCTTAAAAGACGCACGACAAAACCGTTAAACCAGAAAAAATGTCTAGTGTTAGTTCTAGTTTTAGTTCTAATTTTAGTTCAATTAACTCCGGCCGTGAAAGCCTTCGTACTTATATTTCATTATACCTATGGGAAATTTTCCGCACTATACAGTGGTATACAACTTTGGTAGATCACATGATAGCACAAGCATTTTAACAGAAGTTAATGAAGAAAAGAAAATTCTCTACCTAGGTGGCATCAGAATCAAAATGCGCCCAAAAAAAGATTATAGTTCCATTAGCAATGTTTTGCGAAAGTATTTTAACAGTGTATGTATATGAATGAATTTGAAGTACTAATGCACAGCATCCCAGTATAGTTAAGCCATCTAGATTTTTTTTCTGTAATATCGATTACAAACCGTAATCTTGTTATGCGACTTATAAGAGACTGTTTCGAAAACGTTATCGAGACATTTACATCTTCCTTAGAAAGGAAAACGTTGTGCGAATCAAAAGTTAAAGATACAAACAGCGATCATCCCCAACTTCCTACAGCTCTTGAAACTGTATTCACTGCTGAGCAATTTGCTAACGTACGTTTTAAAGTTTTAGCACTTGGTGCAAGTAATTTAAATACTATATCTACCTATTTATGCAAAGAACCCTAGTCAACGTGCAATCTGTATGAAGGTAGTTTCTATTTAAATTCGGACGAAGCTCAATGTTTACAAAATGATGATAAAACATTAAATAAAAATCGTGAATTGCATCATGCCTGGGATCCGTTCTCTTTTGCATTAGTTTAACATTATCTTTTGCATGAGTTTAACGAAACATAAAACGCGATCGATTTATTGAATAAAGACCACGAATATAATGACGAATACGAAATATTTGAAACTAAATATTATGAATTAACAGCACAGGCGACAACGTGTGCAAAGGCGGTATAAACGATAAAAGGACTGGTACGAGGGCTGCAATGGCTTACGCGCAACGACGGTTATTTTCATAAAAATGTTAAACTTTTTACGTTGGATTTCCCTAAAAACAAATAAACATATCAAATAAGCATGAACGTACTATTGTAAATTTAGCCACGAACAACAAAAGATACATTTTTTTGTGAATCAGAGGATCACTTCAGTTACGGTTGTGATAAATTCAAAGCATTGACTACAAACAAAAGAGTTGAGGATGTTAAAAAAACTCAGCCTTTGCTTAAATTGCCTTCATTCGGGACATTTCTCGATGGATTGCAAATCTTCGTCCACATGCGTTAGAGAAACTTTGATAATTTTACCAACCTCGCAGGTTCACATCAAAGATGTGACTGGAAAACAGCGTGAGGCTAGGACACTTTTAGATTCGGGCTCGCAGTCGAATTTTATGACAATGACACTTGTAGAAAAACTGCAATTACATACTTACAATTTAAACGTACCTGTAACAGGTATTAGCCAAACGTTAAGGCTGTTCAACCGCTAAGAATTTTTATATGTAATCTTTCAAACAATATATCTCGGTTAATATTAGAGCAAAATGCATGATTTTTTCTGCTTTGAAATCAGGAAATGCGAATTGCCCGAAAAAAAAAATTAAGATAATATCAGGTATAATCATAAATATTTTATATATTAACATACTTATAAAAGTAATGTGTTTAGATATATTAATAAAAAGTCCCAATCTCAATGCCCAAACTAATCAAGAAACAATAAGTACACAAGATACATTTAGTGGATTGACAAGTGCAATTATGGAAACACCTAAAAAACGATCAGGTATGGTGAACTTTAGGTTCTTAAAAACATTTGCTGTAATACACTTACTGTTATAGGTTCAATCTGTACTCAAACCCTAAATTCTATGTCATCGAGGAGTCCCCGAAAAAATAAATTGAGAAAAGCGTTAATAGCCGTTCATAAAGAGAATGTTAAGCTTACCCAACAAATGACCGATCCACATCAACTAACATTAGAACTATTAGACAGATGTTGTGATAAATATTTGACGATGGCAATGGCTGAATTTGTAAAAGTGCAAGCACGACTGTGTAGTGTAAAAGCCAAAGGTCGACGTTACACAAAACAATTTAAAGAATTTGCGATACAGGTCTATTTTTTAGGACCGCGATGCTACATGTTTTTACAAAAGATGTTTTGTTTACCGACAGTCAGGTCATTACAAAGAATGACAGAACAAATAAAGTTCATCCCTGGACTTGAAAATGAGCAATTGTATGAGGCCCTACGCCTCAAAGTGCTAGGGATGAACCAAGAAGATAAATATTGTGTTTTGTGTATTGATGAAATGTCTCTAAAAGAGCACTTTTATTACAATATTGGACGAGATGAAATTGTTGGTGTTGTAGATGTAGGCAATGGGAAACGAGACTATTCCCCAGCGCGAACTGCCACTGTCTTCATGGTGAGGGGTATAAGGAATAATTGGAAGCAACCAGTTGGCTATTATTTTGTCACCACAAGTTCAAGTGGTATACTTCTTAAATCAGAAATAAGACGTTGCATTGAGAAATTAAACCACATTGGATTAATGCTTAGTGACGGATATGGGATCAAATTTCATTCAATTATTTCATTTGTTAGAACTGACTCCTACAAACCCATGCTTTTCAGTTGGTGATATAAATGTTATTTATGTCTTTGATACACCTCATTTGCTTAAAGCAACAAGGAATAATCTCATGAAACACCGCTTTTCAATTAATAATAATAATAGCATAAAGTCATCATGGCAACATATTAAGCAGTTCTATGATAGAGACTGTACCCAAAGGAACAGATTAGCTCCAAAGTTAAGCAATTCCCATATTGCACCAACCAACTTCGAGAAAATGAAGGTTAAGTATGCATCGCAAGTGATAAGCCGAACAGTGGCTAGTGGAATGGAGACACACCTGTCCTTAGGGGTATTACCATCTGAAGCTATGGTAACTATTGAAATTTTAGAAATGTTCAATAACCTTTTTGATATTTTAAATGCAAACTCTACGTCGACAGAGAAGTTTAAAAGTCCGTATAAAGGAGAAGTTCATAAAGAAAAGTTTTTAAACGAGATGGTTAACTTTATTAATAAATTACAAGTGTATAATCAAAATGGGAAAAACGTGACAAACTCTATAAAATGTTTGAAATTCTGGATCGTAACAATTAACGGAATTCAAATGTTATGGAAGAGACTTAACAGTCATGGATTTGAATCCCTTTCTTCCATTTCTTTGAAGATGTGTGAATCAGGATTGCTTGGAAAATTTTTTCGGAAGCGTGCGCCAGAGTGGTGGTAATTGTAGAAATCCGACTCCAGCATCGTTTGAACAAACGTTTGTTAAGCTCTTCTGCCAAAATTACTACCATTGTAGCAATAATAATTGTGCAGATGATGATGGCCATTTATTAACAAAATTAATTGATTTGCAATCACCTTCTCATGCCATTATAGAAGAGAGGGAAACGGAAACTACCACATTAATGGAAATTTCAATCGATAATGATTATCGAAATCAAAATCTTCCAGCCATTAATGCATTCTCATATGTTGCCGGATATTTATCGAAAAAAAATTTAAGTGTACATTCCTGCGAAGAATGTGCACTACTTTTGAATGTTTCTGAATGTTTAAATGAACAATATTTATTCACGTATTTTAAAACAATTTCTGATGAAAATGTATATGGACCATTACACACACCAAGTGTAACATTTTTAAATTATGTCTACGAGTTGGAAAATAGCTTTTTTCATATTTTTGATGATCTATTTCCAAAAAAAAAAAATACCACAAACATTTTATGATAATTTAAAAGATATAAATTTACCTCACAGTTGTCCATTGTTCCCTAAAGACCGTTTATTAAAATTGTTTATACGTATGAGAATATTTTATTCTTTAAAATTTTCTAACAAAATGTTAAAACAAAACAAACATAATGATAATGTAAATAATATTAAGTTAAGTATTGTAAATAATACATGATTTACCACCTAAAATACAGTTTTAATTTCCGTGTCTGTAAATCAGCTGCAAAAGAACTAAAAAAAAAGGCGCCAAATCATTTGCTTTGTTAACTACCAACAAGATGGCGAATCTGTACACCTCCAACATCAAAGAAGCCGACAGCGCTGTCGTTTCTGTATTATTCTGTGTTATGAGTGCTGCTTCGAATGTTGAGGTAGCAGGTTCGATCGTCACTGTACTGTTTTTTTTTTTAATTTAATTTTTATTTTAGGTAAAAGCTTATTTATTTTATTTTATTTAATAGAAACAGGTAAAAAGTAAGTTTCACGATATCTATCACACTGTATAAACGAGGATTTATAACAAACGTTTTCTTAAAATATCTGAAAATTGAGATCTAGCAACCATGCAAATACCCGATTTTATTAATAAAACAAAAGAATTACATATTGTGACATTAAAAAGATCATTCAAGTTTTTCTGTGCTTATTGTTAATAAATACATTTAAATACAATTAAATACAATTACAAGTGTTAATAGTGTTATTAGTATTGTTAAGTGTTATTATTATTGTAAAGTGTTATTACTATTGTTAAGTGTTATTATTATTGTTAAGTGTTATTAATATTATAAGTTAAATAAAATTACGGACAATTATAATGGAATCTGTTGAGCAAAACCTGCACACGGAATTCAATAAATTAACTTTAAAAAATGCTGTTTGTTACTTTCAACAGCTTCTTACAGAAAATAATTTGATAACAGAACAACCTTCATCCACAATTAGTAAAGAGTCTGTGTTATTGGCAGAACAACTGTATGAATACACATTACAGAATCTTATTGGTGGTGAGAAACAATTTGTTCTTGTGGATGAACTAATTATGAATGAAGAAGTCAACGATAAAGAATCAGATTATGAAAATAATTTTAAAGAAATTGAAGAAAATGAAGAACCTGATTATGAACCTGAGGGAAAGAAATCGAAAAAGGACCAGTTCATTCCAATAAATTACAAAATAAAAGTAATCAACACAGCGAAATCTCACCCAAATTGGAGTTTGAAAACTTTACAAAATAATGGATGTCAGCGATTGAAAAAGAAGGGTGATTTACAAGTTTGGGAGCAACAGGTTAAAAGTGGTGGAACCATTTTTGATAAATATTCTATTATCAATTCATGGACGCACGATCGGTTTAAGGAAGCTCGTCAAGTTAATCACCAAGTGCGGAAAATTTTCGTATACAGGCTCGTAACCTTATAATAAACTTCGACGCAAATTATGTAATACAGATCAAACAGCTATTTACAATTAATTGTGCTTTTATAATTAATATATAGTACAAGAATATTTATTAAATACATCATTTTTTTAAATTATTTATTAGTATGCCAATACCACTCCACTTTTAATAGAACCCTCGCAGCCAAAGGTGCAAAAGTAGTCCTTGTTCAAAGACAAAACATTAACAAAACAAGTCATTCGTATACAGCTCAATACAGCATTACGTTAGCTGGAAAACTATTACCAGTAGTGTTTGTATGTCTACAAGAAGCAGGAGATTCTTTCGGACCTCGAGTACAAAAATTAGTGGACGAATACGTCAAAAAATACTACAATGTCACCGTAACATTATCAAAATCAGGAAAATTAACAACTACCTTATATAAAGACTTTCTAATAAAAGCTATAAAGCCATACGTAAAAAAACAGAAATTTTGCTTGTTTGTTGATTCTTGGGGAGGACAAACCAAGCCAGAAATATATGACCAAATTTTTGTTGATGATGAGTATTTGTCAACATGTTGTATTAAATTTATACCTCCAAAATGTACACCATTAGTGCAACCTTGCGATGATTATTTTTACAGACAGGTCAAAAAATTTTACATCAGGTAGTGGAGCTGACGATCTTTACAAACCTTCGTTATGGTATTATAACCTTATGGAATTCATTAAAGATCAGGAAATGCCAAGGAGTTCTGTTTGTAATGTTTCCGATGATGGCACTAATTCTCGACATAATGATGACAACAATAACGCCAACAATCAGAATAAAGTAAATTGAATTATTGATTTTTCATAATAGTTAATATGACCTGTATGTTATTAAAACAATAGTGGATTTTTAAACGGTCGTTTTTAGGAACAAAATTTACAAACTGACAGGGAGGACGAAGCACACAGTACAGACGATGGTTTTAGGTTTACACCATCTGTCATGACTTCAACTGCATCGAGAACCCCAAGAGAGAGAGTAGCAAGAAGAGTGGAAAAAGCGGATGAAGTGCTGGACATAGTAGCGAAGAAGTTAAGTGAATCACCGGCGAAATCTCAATATTTTGACAACTTTGGAAAGCACGTCGCCGAACAGCTAAGAAGATTGCCGAAGGAACAGGCAATCTATCTTACAAAAATCATCAATGACGGCATTTTTGAGGCACAGTGTGGAGCTCTGTCGAAAAGGCCTCACATTGTAATTCCCCCTGAAGTACCGATTATCGAGCAGCATTATGTACAGGAATATCCCAGACAAGTAGATACTTCTGTTACGGATAATCATGAGTGCCAAGCAGAACCTGACGGTGTAGCACATTATCTAAATTTTAACCCATAAGACATGATCTGTACATTTTTACATTAAAATAAAAAATAAAAACTAATTTGCTTGTGTATTTACTTCTTCATCTAAAAAAATACAAAAAATATTACATTATTATATTATTATTAATACAAATATTTAAAAGTATATTTCGTCGAAATAAAGCGGAAGTGAAGCCTGAGCTATATTTAATGAATCATTCGTTCCTGCCAGGATACGACCCCTTCTTTATTAAAGTAGTCGGTAAATGAATCTCGCACAATCGTTGCTTCGTTATTAGGTCGCCTGCTCTGACTACATTGCAGATTTACGGCAACGGTTGGGCCCATTCGTAAACCCAACTGAACCGTGCCATTTTCAATATTTTCTCTATCTTGAGATTCAGTTGGAATATACGTACTAGCACATTTTTTTCTTAAAAAGTTATGAAGCACACAGCAAGCTAAAACAATTTTTTCAATTGAATTAACGTTTATACCGATAGCCGTATGAAAAATTCTAAATCGTGAAGCCAATATTCCAAACGTATTTTCAATTTTGCATCTTGCTCTTGACAAACGGTAGTTAAATATTTTTTTATCGTGATTTAAATCCTTTTGACTATACGGTTTCAAAAAGTCGGGTCGTAGGGCGAATGCTTCATCTCCGACGAATACGAATGGCAGTCGTCTCTCACTGTTTGGGACGCTGATTGCACTTGGTATGTGCAAAGATCCGTTTTTTAGTTTTTTATAAAAACGAGTGTATTCTATTACTCCACCATCAGATATTCTACCATTAACGCCGATGTCACACATGATAAATTTGCATTACAAATCGCCATTAAAACTATGCTATGGTATACTTTATAATTGTAAAAATAAGCCCCACTTCCTGGTGGGGGAACTATGTTAATATGTTTCCCGTCAATTGCACCTAGGCAATTAGGAAAGTTGCATAATTCTTCATATTGTTGGGCGATGCGCTTCCATTCCGTTTCTGTGGTAGGAAACTAAAAAATACCAAATCAGATGAATCAAATTTGTGTTTCATCATATTATGTTTTTCTTACCTTCATGTATTTTTCATGTAACACGAGAAAAATGGCGTCACAAGTTTCCGGAATTAATTTACCCAACGCTTGGGGTGATATTATGGTTGAAAATTTTAAATCTTCGTAATTTCGCCCCGTACCTAAGAATCGAAGTGTTGCACTTAACCTCTCATGTGATGTTATTGCCGATCGCATTTTGGTATCTTGACGTGCTATCAAAGGTGTAACCAACTTCAGAAGTTCGATATATATATTTTCGCTCATTCTTAGGTAATTGCGCCAACCGTCAGGCTCCAGTCTTAATTGTTAAAGAATATTTATATGAGAGAGTTGTTTCCGTTTCAGTAACCATAGTTTACACCATCTTTTACGACAATTTTTATTTTTTGCTGCTTTTCGTTTCACTATAGTAGCGCACGCCACTGCTATTAAATTCAATTCGTCTGACATCGTATTGTCGCACATGGCTACTGTTCATGTACTGAGACATCTGTGTAAGTGTCTGAATATTATTAATTATTAATTGTCAATATATAAATATAAAAAGGTTTGTTAATCTGTTAAAAACATATTACGCATAATTTTAATAGCATTGTGTTTACTTTCCTAATTCTTTGTTTTAATTTTATTTTGGGTTAGATGTTTTATTTTGTTATCGAGTATTTTGAGTTGCATACATTTCGCGATGATTTATTTTGTTTACTTTTGTTTATTTTGTTGAATTTTTGTTTAATTAATTTTTCTTTTTCAGCGACAATTCTCCGTAGATCTCCTTTCATGATTTTCCTTTTTCCTTTTCAATTTATTTTCCTCTAAACTTATTTTACTTCTTCGTTTCCCCTAAAAGATGGTGTTAATTCTTTCGTTATTCTTGCTTGTGCGCAAGTATCAATTTTTTGTGAATTTTTGAGGATATTTATCGTCTGTGTAAGATTTTCTCTTCCTCTTTTCAAGTCAGATCAGTACGTGTACGCACGTAGAGTTAGGATTTTTGGTAAAGCCATTTTGAATTTTTCGCGTGGTGATTGGTTCCTAATCCAAATTTTTGGGATTCATCTACGTGTTGTGCAACTTATTGGTAACGTTTTTGCACGTCCAATTATCGGATTACTCCGGATTAAACCGTATTTTGAAACTTTTCTAAGTTTTTCTGACTAAACCTCGAAGATCTGAGGTAAGATATTTTTATTGAATACATTTTATATTTTCCCTTACACATTCATACCTTCATTTATTCAAACATACATCCTTTTACCACCGAATTAATTAAACTATTATCATCATTTTTTTTTTTTTCTTATTTTTCCATCCTTTCTACTTTTTTTTTCTCTTTTCTAATTTCCTCGTGTTTATTTAAGGTTTTAATTGAAGAGCATAAATTTTGGCAACCTTTCTGTAACATTTTCGAGACAGAAGTTTGGTTATTTTGTGAGATTTTCAATCCATTTTCGAAGTTCTACCTTTTCGGAGGGGTTCTTCCTTGAGGATTTTGGTCGAGGTTGCATTACCACTACCTATTAAGTTTTCCTTTCCCTGAATCGGAGGAGATTGTCGCTGGAGCTGGAAGAATTTGCTTGGATCGTCTACACGTGGTCAAGACAAGGTCAGACCTAAACGTTTGTTTTTATATACCGCTTTATTAAATCATAAATCAATAAATTAACTAAATATATTATATTTATATCATAAAATTATCATAGGTTGAAAATATTCAGTATTTTGTTGTCAGTTAAATCAAACAAAATAATTTTTTTTTCCTTTGTAAAATTTTGGCGTACATTTTTTTTGTTTCACGAATTAGTTTTTATTTTCTTTCTCGACGCCACACTGATATCAGGGGTACGGGTCGTGCGCGTAATTCAGTTCAAATTTATTATTTTCTTTTTGCGTACTTGTTTTGGTCATTTATTTCAACATATTTTTTTGGTACGCCAACAATTCTTTTCTTTCTTTATTGTGTTGCTTCACGTTTGCTGGACAACAACATTATTACTTACGTATATCACAATAATATTTTTATTTACCTTATTATTTTTCTATTTCCACCGAATAAATATTTTTTTTGCAACTTAAAATATCTCGAACTGTTTATTTTTTTTTGTGTTTGTGTCCACTTGTGTCGATTGCATCACTTTACCACCTCACGTCACAGTTCGTGGACAACGCAGGGTTAACTGTGTGGCGCCTTATAAATAACACTACCCGTCTTCACTGGGCCGGCCGAGGACCTGCGTTAGTTATTGAATTGCTAATCGACTGTATTGTTCTTTTTTTGTGTTCATAAGTCGTCACAATTGATAACATTGATTTTTCACATCTGCTGGGTGTAAGTACTAAAGCACTAATTAAAGGCTTTGCCGGCTCAGAAAGATCCAATTTATTAAAAATATGCCTAGAACTATTGCATGAGACTGGTGCGCATGTTAGACCAATTACTTTCGACGGGGCATCAGTTAATTTATCTATGTGTAACAATATAGGGGCCAATTTTAATTTTTCTTCCAATAATTTTAAGCCCTGGATCCAGCACCCTATCACAAACAAGAATATTTATATACTTTTTGATGCTTGTCACATGATAAAGCTTGGGAGGAACACACTGAGTTATAAAGGCCTAATTATAGACTTAAATAAAATTTAATTAAACTTAATTAAAAGAGGCTTACACTTAGCCACCAAAATTAGAACGAAACATACAATATTACGACAATCGTATGAATGTGAAATTAGCCAGTCACACTAAGCAAAAGTACATTACAGCAAATAGGTTGAATCCAATCACACTGTACCACAAACAACCAATTGTATACAAATAAAATTACAGTTCACAATAATAATAATGAATTAATATTAATGGTACAAAAGTGAATCAAAAGGAAAAAACTAAAAGTAAGACTAGGTGATATAAATATATCAAATATTAAATGAACGCTCGAGGCAACACACTAACTGCAGCAAAGAGTAGTTTTTTAAATGCATAGAAAGAATGCTAAAACAGATCTATGTTAACACGAATAGCTGATCTTGCCATTCTCAATAAAGGAGAGTTTTGACAGACATTGGTTCTAGGAGTAGGTGTCGTAAATAGAAAGTCAAAGCGAAGTAATCTAAGTAAGTAAGTAATATATTTGATATGTTAAATTGTTGAAATAAATTTTCAAAAAGCAGTGAATTTAATCGTCCATTATCAAATGAGACAATTGAAAATTCTAGAGAACAAGCAAATATCTTAATTAAATATATTTTAGCTCTTAAAGATCCCCACGGGATTAAACATATGGATTTTTAGGCTTACTAAAAAGATAAAAAGATAAGTAAAAGATATTATAAATTCTAATATTTAAATTGAGCCAAGATTTTGTCGAAACGTATTTCAGCACGATTAGAAATCATGGTGGCGTCAATAATAATCCGAAAGCCAAGCAATTTGAAAGTGTCTTCAGATCAGACCTGTGTAAGTAATTTAATTGCTTGATATTCAAACATTTCCATATGTAAGTTTGTGCCTGTTGAGTGTCGAATAGTTGCGCGAGATTTCTCAGTCAATGCAGAGCTTATGTTCAGTGCGCGTGCAGTTGCAGTTCGTGTTCGGGCGTGCGTTCGCAAGAATTGCAAGNAGTCCGTGTAGTGCCTTGAAGAGAGCAACATCGCCTGGAGAGAAGTTTGAAGAATCCACCACCTGCAGCGTGAGCGAAGGAAGGAGGAAGATTCGAGTTCTGCCTAGGTGACCTCGACAAGAGTAATCCGGAGTAGGTAAGTTTCTTTCGAAACTAAAACGCCCTTTTTAGGGTCTGGTTCCCGTAAGGGACACAATCAGTGAGTTTTCGCCTCCATTTTAATCGGCAAAAATGTCGTTTAAAAATGGAAAAGGCTTATCCACGTCGTGTGGAGATTTTCGCTTGTTAGCAAGCGTGGTCGACACCCACACCATCGATAACAACGGGACATTGAGACCCGTTCCACCGAGCCGTCCGCCTTCCCCGTTGAAGGCGACGACTAAACGTAAGGTTAGATCCGCCATCCCCGTG